CCTGACACATAATACAGGACTACATAAATAACTGTTGGATAAAGAGCCCACTATCCTCACTTATGGGTCTGCCAAGGAGCAACAGAAGCAGGCAGGAGTGGCACCACATGACATAGCAGTAAGGGCACCATTACCAAGAGCCCAGTGTTTGGTGGTTGCGAGGTACACACAGGTTCCCCTCAAAGTGTGACTGATGGGATCCCCAGAAATTTCATTCAATGTCCTCATAACATGTCATACTGTACCTGCTCACTAGGAGTAGTGCCAAAGGATACTTGGCATTTTGGCAGGACCATTTTGACTATTTATCCAATTCTTACACATATCTCAGCAAAAGTTGCAAATGGTATGTTAATTACAAGCAGCTAAGCACAAAGATTGAACACTCTTCAAGAGAGGAAAAGTTAGCCCTGGCTGGTGTGGCTCGGTGGATTGAGCACCAGCCTGGGAACTGAAAGGCTGCTGGTTTGATTCCCAGTCAGGCACATGCCTGGGCTGTGGGCCAGGTCCCCAGTAGGGGGCATGAGAGGCAACCACATTTGATGTCTCTCCCACTCTCTTTCTCCCCTCCTTCTCCTCTTTCTAAAAAGTAAATAAAATCTTTAACAAAAAAAAAAAAGAGAGAGAGAGAGAGAGAAAGAGGGGAAAAGCTAGTTGGTGTTGGCTACATTTTTATAGGAAATTCCCCTAGCTGTATTTTAGAGAAATTAGGTAGAGTATCTATTGTATAATTGCTTAACATACTCTTTAGTAAAGGATTAACAGAATTTTTTATCCTTCACTATGAGAAAAAGCCCACTGGTTAACTCCTAGTTCTATTCCCCTGATAATCTACTAAAGAATAGTGTGTCTGCTATGTTGCTAGGCAACATTACATATGGTAGACATGAACCCCTAATCAGTAAATTGCATCCAAACTGGGAGAACAATAAACACCTAATAAGAAGCCACAGCTCTGGGCTTCCCTAAGTACAGTGACTCTTGGAACAGACATGTGTCTTGCAGGGACCCTAACAGCTATGTCCATTGGGTTACTATAAGAGATTGCCCCCAAGCCGGGACAGCTCCCATACTTGCCTGATATGGGTCATCTCCTTGTCCAAAACTCACATGATGGATTAAAAAATTGCTCCAAAAATCACAGTTGTCAATGAAGAGTTGACAGTGGTAAAATCATCCACCTGGAGGGTCAGAGCAGATGCTAAATGTCCTCCTTAAATCACAAAGCTTCTGTATCATCTGATCACAATGGCGTGAGTTACTGTCACCTTCGGAAAACTAGGACATGTTAGAAACCAACCAAACTATTTCTGACAAAGAAAAAACTTTTTATTCATTTCTACAGAAGCATTATTCAATGAAAAGAATTCAAATTTTCAGCACTATAATGAGGTTGGAGGAACACAGTAATAAGGGATGTTGTGGAAATACTGAATAAAAATCAATGAAAACACTGCCCATCAGAAGTAACTGAATCAAGTGCCCCCTTTTTTGGGTTAGAAGATAGTGTGATCACGTGGAAGCACAAGGTGAGCTATAAAGGACCCACAACAACAGGAAGTACAGGTAATGCTCAAAACAGAGCCCAACCAGCCCTCGGCCCCTCCCCACGCAGTTACGCTATACCTCACGAGGGACACACAATAAAAACCCAGAAGTCCAAGTGGAACAGCCCGAATCCCGTTGACCAATGGCCCCTCCAGTCTTCCCCACTGCCCTCAGAGTCAGTGCATGAAGTCCTTCCTACTTGTTGTTTTCCATGTGGTTTATCGCAACATCAACTAACAATAATGACAAAAAACCATCACAGCATTCTGAACCACCAGACTACACAGTTCCAAAATACTCTGCAGACCACAAGGTCAGTCATTTTCTTCGGGAGTATTTTAAGTCTCGTGGCCACCAAAATATTTACACCAGAATGGCATCTTTCTGCCAAGTGACCACAAATCATGTTGCTTTACATCATTTCTTAATGTATTACAATTTCAGGCCTTATTTATATTCCTCCCCAACCCTCACTGAGAAAGCCTGTCCCCTTCCCCCAAGTGAAACAACTTCCCAAGGACACCATTTTTAATTACATTATAAGTAAGAATCCTGTTCCCATTCATGCAATATATCTAAGATAAGGTAAAAGTATCCCTTCGCGAATGTGGACAGAATGTGCGAGAAAGATGCCAAAACATAACCTAAATCACCAATGGTCTGTGTTGGACCCAACTGTGAATTTACTTACTATAAAAATATCACCAACTTGCTCTGGCTGGCATAGCTCAGTGGATTGAATGCGGGCCTGTGAACCAAACAACCGCAGTTAAATTCCCAGTCAGGGCACATGCCTGGGTTGCAGGCCGGTTCCCAGCAGGGGATGCACAAGAGGCAACCATATACTGGTATTTCTCTCCCTCTCTCCTTCCCTTTCCCCCCTCTAAAGATAAATAAATAAAATCTTTAAAAAAATCACCAACTCCACAATTAAACCTCAAACACACTGCATGGATTATAAATACTGACCACTAAATATAAACATAAATTTAAAACAGGGCAGTTTATGGTCTGATATCCCAGACAAAGATCTCCATTAAAAGTGAGAGAATCCAGCGATTCAGTTACTACAAATACCAACACAAACTCTAAACAGCCAACCAGGAATGCAACAATCTGAAACATTATGGAAAAAGAGAATCACTTAAATATTAATCTTCATGTTCTGTTTTCCCTCCACAGATTCTGCTGCTTTAAAATTTAATACAATGATCAAATCCTAGAGTGGTTCTAGGGGTATGAGTCGGAGTTCAAATTTCCAAGTTTCTGCAACACAAACCTAATTAGCTTTGAGGGCAAGTTGTGAATAATTTGACCTCCACTCCCCATTTTACTATCCACTATTTTCTAAAACTTGTGGGAGCCTAAGAGTCTATTAAATATTCAGAAGGTAAAAGGTAGCCTAAAATATAACACAAAATTAAGTCACTCAAAGTCTTTTTTATATCCTACTTTTTAGTAGGGTTTCTTAACCTCAAACTCTTAACATTTGGGACTGCACAATGCTTTGTTAATGCTTTGTAAGAGGCCCTCCTACGAACTGCAGGATGGGTGGCAGCATCCCTTCCCGCACCCACTAGATAGATGTTAGCAGCCCCTGGCCAGATGTAACCATTCAGAACGTCTCCAGACATTGCCAAATCTCCCTGGGGGGCGAGATCACCCTCAGTTGAGAATCACTGTCTTACAATGATATCTCTAATGTAAAATTTTTTATTTTGCACCCAGTAATATGAATAGGTCATGAGGTCACTGAAGAGGCTCCTTGCTCTGCCTGAGAAAGTAGGCAGAGAAGTTAAAATGTGAGGTAGAAAAGTCGTAAGAAAACATCAAAAATACTTCATAAACAGAAAAGAGCAAATATACCAAACATAACTCCTTGCAAAGTACAGCTTCCACATATCCATTTAGGTTTGCCTTTTGCTAAGATTCCCTCTTTTAAAACAATAGCCAGCCCTGACTGGCGTGGCTCAGCTGGCTGGATGTTGTCCCGCAAAGCAAGAGGTCGCTAGTTTGATTGCAGGTTGGGACACATGCCTGGGTTGCCCTTCTGAGAAGTAAATGATTGATGATGTTCCTCACATCGATGTTTCTTTCCCTCTCCCTTACCCTCTCTCTAAAAATAAATAAATAAAATCTTAAAAAAATATACACTTATTTAAAAAAACACCCAAAAAGCAGCTAATATGTTCATTTCAGATTAAGAAAAGTGTTTCCGGTCCTTAGTAAGTTTCCATTTGTAACTCTTGACCTAGAACAATAATTTTCAAACTCCCTGTGGTAAAAGACCAGTTTTTAAATTTTCAGTCCACTGCAGACCAGCAGTAGGTGGTCCTACTGTGCGGCCTGGTGTCGACACCCCACAGGCCAGCACCTGTGGGTGGGCCGCAGCTTGAGTATTGACAGCTAGAGTTGAACTCCTGAGTACAGCTTAAACACTTTCTGAACTCTGCAATGACTAACATTGTTTATTTTTAGAGAAAGGGGAAGGGAGGAAGAGAGGGAGAGAAACATCAACGTGTGGTTGCCTCTCACATGCCCCCTATTGGGGACCCAGGCATGTGCCCTAACTGGGAATTGAATCGGTGACCCTTTGGTTTGCAGGCCAGCACTCAATCCACCGAACCGCACCAGCCAGGGTGCCTTGAATATTTTTAATCGCAACAGTTCCTGTTCTTCAGCCCTTTAAAGAAATGCAGCCTTTTGTGAGAGTAATTGTACAGCTGCTAAGTGGGTGAAAAGCAGACTTGTTTTAAAAACCTGTTCTACTCAACATCCCTTTCCTTCCAGAGGATCTTTTAAAAGATAAGAAATGTAGAAATATAACTTCTACATTTTTATATAGGCTTACACTTTTCCCTCCAATTAAAATTCTCTTCAGGAACTAAGTAAAAGAACGTCAGCAGTAGCTCCACTTCCAGGTTCCACAGCAATAGCCTTTGGAAATGGCTGGAAAAAGCAGGAGAGAATTTTTAGTTTTAACCAGAAAATACGCTTTATGATCACAAAACAGGTTCTTGATGTGTATAGAATCGTCAAATGCTGAACTAAGCAGGAAAACCATCCAGACCTGCGCTCCCAGGGCCTCCTCGCAGGGCTCACTTAAAATTTAATTCAATGGGGGAAGTCGAAGTGCCACGACGAGGCTTTTAGCTCATCTCCACGGTTGCCTGCACGTAAATACCCCCGGCTTTGAATACTGCAGTCTCAGATTTAGAAAGTGCTCTTAACAATCGTGTGTTAGGCAGCCCTGCCAGCCTCACGTCAATAAAGCTTTCTCGGAAATACTTCAGAAAATTAGAATATGGAAATCGATAGGTAGGCAGAGGCAAGACTGATCTCAAAACTTAACTATTTTCTTGCCCACCTGTCCAGAGGAAAGAGGAGGATGACGAAGGAATGCAGAAGACAGACAATGTAAAACAGGCATATGGAGGTTTTCTCCTCCTAACCAGGGTTCGGGTGCACAGCAGGAAGGGCGGGGAGCCTGAGGGCCAGCCCTGATTCACTCAGAATCTGGGACAGTCAGGCCATCAGCAAACCAAGGGCGCCGTACTAAAAAGTCATTTGTCCTTTGAGTCACAAAATCGAACCTCTGCTACATAGTCTAACAAAAATGCAAATATAGTAAAAGTGAAAAAGATGTTCCTCTCAGGGTTCCACAAAATTGGACAAATGGTGGCTTTCAACCACAGAATGAGTGATAACAAATTCTAAAATCTCTTCCCCACCACGGTACTGCTACATGAGTGTCTCTCGGTCTGTTAGGTTGGGCCGCATTCGTGGTCTGTCGTCCGAATCGTCTCCGGCAGGGTCGTTCTCCTCGCCCGACTCCACGTAGATGGGCCAGTCATTGTCCGTGTCACTCTTTCCTTGGCTCTCGGATGAAGCCTCCACCAGGCTAAGGTTGATGGGCATCAAATCGTCCTCGTCATCATGTGTGTCTGTGACGCAGGTGCAGCTGTCACACAGCCCAAAGCGCCTCAGGCCCTGTGACAGGTGACTCGTGAAGGTTCTTCTGCAGCCCTTACAGATGATTGGACGGTTGGATCTGTGGACCTAAAATTACAAGTAGACAAAGTAAATGTCACAGAAATGGAGTCGAATCGCGGCCTTCAAGGCCCCACCGATGTGGGCCCTGCTGGACCCTCCAGCCTCACTTCTCACCACTCTTCCAGCTGTTCCGTCAGCTGCGGCCGCAGCCTCACCAGGGTCCTTGCCACCCCAGCGCCCTTGGACATCCCTGGAAATTGCCCTCCTCCTCATTGCCAACCCCTCCCGTCTTTCAGGAAAGGCTTTTCTGATGCTCCAGGCCGGGTTAGCTCCCCCAGCTATATATTTTCACTTCTGCTTCTTCCTTGATTATACAGCAGTATCCCATTACCTGTGGGGAATATGTTCCAAAACCCGCTGGGAATGCCTGAACCTGCAGATAGTACTGAACCATACATACTAGTCTGTCTGGGAAAAGTGCAGCCATTCTTAATATGGTTAGAACAGTTTGTGTGGCATCGGACATCGATGTAATCAGGCACTCAAGGAGAGTGGACCGGAATGCGCATGCGTGAACAATGATGCCTTCACTGTACTAGTCAGTGGTGGCGGTACACGCAGTAAGTAAACACATGTACTATACAGCTGCTGCATTGAAAATGACTGAGCGAGACTTCCGCCAAGATGGAGGTATAGGTGGGTGTGCCGTGCCTTCTCACACAACCAAGTTTAGGGACAACTAAATATTAGCATCAGAAAACACAACCAGAACACGGAAAATTGAACTTTTCGGAAGTCCGTTAACAACAAATTCTTCAGCCCGACCGGTAAGGGGCGAAACCGGCATCTCGTGAGGGGTTGCACAGGAGGACTCCTGTCGGACGGACCCAGGCGCGGAATCCCGGCGCGCGAATCCAGACGCACGGGTTCCAAACGCAGGATTGGACCTAGCGAGCGACCGAGCAACCCACCAGGTGAGCGACTGCTGAGGAGACAGTGGGGAGGCGGTGCTGCGTGTTGACTGCGGTTGCCTGTCTGCAGGTGAGCGGACAGGCGAGGGAGTGGGCGGTTGGACCGGGGCCGGCGGTCCCCGTGGCGTGCGGCAGTAGAGGGCACCGCCATTTCCCCGCTCTGACCACGCCCCCACATACAGCGTCACAACCCAGCGACCTGGGAGTCCAAGGCCCCGCTTCTCACATTTAAAGGGCCAGAACAGACCAAAAATGTCGCAGGAAGACCTCAAAGCCCCAGAGATAAATCTAAGCGACGAAGAAATAGCAAAACTCTCAGATGCACAGTTTAAAACACTGGTCATCAGGATCCTCACAGATCTGGTTGATTATAGCCACAAATTAGAGAAACATATGAAGGCTAAACTAAGGGAAATGAATGGAATTCCACAGGAAACCCATAGAGATGAAAAGGAAACTGGGACTCAAATCAATGGAGTGGACCAGAAGAAAGCAAATAATGGCCAAACAGAAAAGAGTCAAGGAGCAAGAATTCAAATAAATGAGGAGAGTCTTAGGAACCTCCAGGACATCTTTAAACGCTCCAATATCCAAATTATAGGGGTACCAGAAGGGGGGAAAGACACAACCACCAGTGGAAAAATTATTTGAACAAATAATAAAAGAAAATTTCCCCAATCTGGCAAAGGAAATAGACTTCCAAGAAATCCAAGAAGCTCAGAGAGTACCAAAAAAGTTGGACTCAAGAAGAAACACACCAAGGCATATCATAATTACATTAGCCAAAATTAAAATGAAGGAGAGAATCCTAGAAGCAGCAAGAGCTAAGGGGACAGTCACCTACAAAGGAGTCCCCATCAGACTGTCAGCAGATTTCTCAAAAGAGACCTTACAGGCAAGAAGGGGCTGGAAAGAGGTATTCCAAGTCATGAAATCCAAAGACCTACAACCAAGATTGCTCTATCCAGCAAAACTTTCATTTAGAATGGAAGGACAGATAAGGTGCTTCTCAGATAAGATCAAATTCAAGGAGTTCATCATCACCAAGCCCTTATTATATGAAATGTTAAAGGGACTTATCTAAGAAAAAGAAGTTAAAGAAACATGAACAGTGAAAGAACAACAAGCTCACAGTTATTAACAACCACACCTAAAACGAAAGCAAACTAAAAGGACAGCTAGATCAGGAGTGGAAACATAGAAATGAAGATCTCAAGGAGGGTTAGCAACAGGGGAGTGGGAGGAGGAGATGGGGGGGAGAAGGTACAGAAAATAAGTAGCATAGACAGTAAATAGAAAATAGATGGGGGGGGCAAGAATAGCATGGGAAATATAGAACCTAAAGGACTTGAGACACATGGACATAAACTAAAGGGGGGTAATGGTGGGGATGGGGGGGCAGGGTGGAGGGGAATGAACGGGGGAATAGAACAACTGTAACAGCATAATCAATTTAAAAAAATAAATTTAAAAAAAAAAAGAAAATGACTGAGCAAGGGGACCTCCAGTCAAGATGGTGGCACAGGCAGGCATGGCTCCCCTCTTCACACAAAATTATAACTAAAATGTAGAACCACCATCTCTCAGGAACATCAGAAGTTGAGTTGAATGCAAGTCTGACAACTACAGAATTAAAGAAACCCCATCCATTCAGACTGGTAGGAGGGATGAAGACATGGAACAGGCTGTTGCAGATAAAAATTCAGAAGGGATACTCGGGAGCTCAGAGTCCCAGCCCCACACCAGGCCCACCAGCCTAGGGTTCCAGTCCCAGGAAACTGAAGTCCCTGCAACTTCTGGCTACAAAACCAGTGGAGATTCAGTCAGTGGAAGAAACTTGTTAAGTCCCAAGCAGTTCCTGTTAAAGAACCCACACACAGACTCACCTACTCAGACTCACTCCCTCTGAGCTCCTGCACTGGGGTGTAGCTCGAAAGGCACCAGTGGCACGCAGGGAGAAACTAAAGTGTCTGGCATCAGGGCAAGCAGAGGCCACTGTCCCTTTACAAAACCCCACCACAGAGCAGGCGAGCTGGTGCCATATCTGAGACTCCATCAATCTGGCTAACACTGTTTGATCTGCCTTGGAGATCCCCAGAGATTCTGCCCCGCCCAACTTACAGGCCCACCCAAGCTGCTTTTCCATATGAAGCGCAGGCCTTAGCTCACACTTCACAACTTCTTGAATCCTATCAAACAAGCAACAGCCTGCCTCAGTGAGTCCCAGGCCCAGCACTAGCAGCAGGCAGCTTAGATTCACAGCTTGGCTCCACCTGGGAATATCCAAGCCAAACACAAGTAGCAGCCTTATTGCTTTATAGCTCAGGAAGGGTGGCCCTAGACAAAACACAGGTTGGGGCCGACCTTGGCCTGCACCACTTGGGAACCCCAGGGCCAGTGCACCCAGAGGTACACACCGTGCTGGAGCACTATCACCCTGTCCCTGCACAGCTGATCCTCCACAGAGGGCTGAGGTTGGTGGTCAGTGGTCACAGACAGCCCTTGCAGGTGACTGGCCTAGGTAAATCTCACCCATTGGTCTGCCAACAGCAACCAAGGCTCAACTACAAGAGGAGGGTGTACTCAGCCCATACGAAGGGTGCCCTGGAGTACCCATCTTGGGTGATAGGGGAGGCTGTGCCACTGGACCCTATAGGACACCAACTACATTAGGCCACACTACCAAGACACAGAGTCAAAGCAGCTCCACCTAATACAGAGAAACAAACACAGAGAGGCTACCAAAATGAGGAGATACAGACACATGACCCAAATGAAAGAACAGATCAGAACTTGAGAAAAAGAGCTAAACAAAATGGAGATAAGCAATCTGTCAGATGCAGAGTTCAAAACACTGGTTATTAGGATGCTCAAGGAACTTAGTAAGTAAGGACTTCAACAACATGAAAAAGATCCAGTCAGAAACAAAGGATAATTGAAATAAAGAAATAATTTACAGGGAAACAACAGTAGAGTGGATGAAGCTGACAATCAAATCATTTATCTGGAACATAAGAAGGCAAAAAGTGTAATAAAATGAGGGTCACCTACACAACTCTCCCCCACCTCCACGCAGGTGCTGGGGCTGGGTGGGAAATGGAAAATGCGGCTGACCTTTGGCATCACACTGGTGACACAGACTCAGAGCCACCTGCCTGAGCCCTAGGGTTCTTTGCCTATGACAACCATCCCTGACCAAGAATCTAAACTTAATTCTTCTCTAGGAAAACCAGTCTGTTACTATAAGTTTTAACTTTCTCTAAGTGCCAGCAACACAGCTTCAATTTAGTAGTAGAAGCATGTTTAAAATTCTCTGAAAATAGCCCAGGGACAGAGATGTGAAAGATACTTCTAACCTTTACTTTAGACCAGTCATTTTCAACTGGTTTTGTCTCACTTACGCTAATTGCTAAAATTCTGAGGCACACACAAAATATATTTTTGCCTATCTGATAAAAATAGGTATAATTTTTGTTTTCATTCAGTGATTTGAGGAAGGGAGGAAGGGAGTGAGAGAGAGACAAACATCAAGTTGTTGTTCCATTTATTTATGTGATCACTGGTTGATTCTTGTATGTGCCCCGACTGGAGATTGAACCTGCAACCTTGGCATATCAGGACAATGCTCTAACCAAGTGAGCTACCCTGCCAGGGCAGTATAGCCCTGATTCATTCTCACTGGATGACTACTGTTGTGTTGGCTGTTGTCATTTTTTAATTTGACAATCTAAGGGAAAAGAGGTCAATGCCCCTGACTGAACAGTCAGGTATTACATGTTTTAAAACTTCTTGTGGCACCTCGGTTAAAAATCACTGCATCAGACAAATGTCAGGAGCCACCCCCACGAACCACGAGAGAACCGCCAGCTCACTTACGCTCAGGGCGTGGCTCCGCAGGTGCTCCTGGCGCGTGAACCTCTTGCCACAGGTCTCACAGGGGTAGGGCCGCTCACCCGTGTGCGAGCGGATGTGACGCTTCAGGATGCCCTTCTGTTTGGCAGTGTAAGGGCAGAAAGGACACTTGTGGAGCTTGATGGGGACCACCAGCACGTCACCTAGGAAACCAAATGGACTGATTTAGCTGTACAGTAAGCAGCGACAGCACTGCCTCCGGCGGATGGCATCTGGGGCTGGGGGATTCCACCAGCCCAGATCGAGGTGATGGATCAGACCCCTGGACTGGGGTTCATGCTCTGACGGCCCCTCCTCAGCACGGCTTCCAGGCACGTACAGAGAGGTTTGTTACGAAGCAAACCCCAACTGTTTGGAATCATATTAACTCTGTATATCTGAAATGACCAAACATCCTGAAATCACTTGAATCTTTTTCCAACTTTTTTTTTGTTGTTGTTTACCTTGCTCATACAACCATTAAGGGGACAAGTGTAGAAACTGTTACTGTCAAATAAGTTTGCAGTATTCAGAGATTTGTTCCCTTTATCCACACCCTTCAGGATTAGCTAGAGAAACTTGGAGTTCGGGGAAAGAAGGGGAGAGCACAGTTGGGGGAGACCTCGGCAGACTGAAGTGGTTGCTTCACCTGGGCCCTGCCTCTGTCCTGAGCGCTCTACTTCCCTTAACGCTTAGCCCTGACACCTCTGGGTTGGAGGCGGGTGGGGTCTCTCTTGTGCTTCGCTGTCCCCTGTCCCTCCTTCCATCCTCAAACACCCTAAGCTCTTTTGAAGCTCACACCATCAGATGATACTACTGCTACCTCTCCTTGCTACAGTACCCAGGAGCCCCTTGGCCATCTCCTCATTCCCAGGAGCCCCTTGGTCATCTTCTCATTGCCTTCAAACAAAACTCCTGGCATAATTCATGGCAATACCAAAAATGACCCTTCCAACACCCTGGTCTCTCTGTCCCTTGCCCTCCTTTTCTCCAAAGACCTTGTCCTCACCCACCTTATTTCAGCTACCCAACCCTAGATCCAGAGTTCTCAACTCTGCCTGCATATTAGAATAATCTGGGAAACTTAAAAAAAAAATACTTATGTCCAATCTCCATTTCAAGGATCACATTTTAAAAGCACCCTTCCCATTCTAATGTACAGTCAGGAATGAGAGTCATGGCCCCATTCCTAGATACTGCCATTAAACCATATTTGCTCCATAACCTCCATTTCAAATACCCCATTACCCAATCACTCTCTCTTACCTTTTCAGCTCACCCCCTGAGGGTCCTTTACCTGCTGGAACCTCCAAGCCATGGACTCGACTGCCATTCTACTGCCTTTCTCCTCCTTTAGTCCTCACTCCTCTTTCCATTCATCAGGGAACTTACTCCTCCATGTACACCCTCCATTGCCTTGGTCCTCTCTCTCCCTCTACCTGTATTCTCTTGGTTAAACCTAGACTCTGGTTAAATACAATCCTCTGCCCGTTCCATACCTGAAACAAGGCAAGTCAACATCACCGAAGAAAAATACTCCACTGTGTGTTCTGGTCGCACTTCAAATCCATTTAACCATCACCATCTAACCACTAATGTCAAAAGAGCTCTTGGCTCTGCCCAGGCATCCAAAAAATGTCCCTGGTTCATTCACTCACCCACTCTTCTCAATGACTATTTTACACCTTCCCTCTGCTCAAGCCTGCATCCCCTCCGACTGCCTCCTCACTTTCAGCTTCTGTCCTTGTTCCTTGTTTAATTGAAAAGGAGGACCATGCAGAAGAGAACCTCTCCTGGCTCCCAGCCACCCACCAACCTCCCACATGAACACATATGTTCTGCTTTCACTCCCAATACTGTGAATGAATTGTCCTTGCCCGCTCCAAAGCCAGACCATCCCCTTCACTGGTACACAGGATCCCATGCCCCTCCCTCTATTAATTGCCCTTCCTCTTCCATCATCAATCATCCTCCTCTCTCCGGCTACCACACTGAGTCAAGGATCATCATCTCTCACCTGGGTAACTGCAGTTACTTCCTCCGAAGTGATCCTCCTGCCTCCACCCTTACTGCCCTGGGTCTATGCTGCCCTGGGTTCTACAGGTAGAGAGCGAGGGAGGAAGCAAGAGGAGCACTTAGGAGGATACTGCACACAGTACCCAAAGGGATCCTTTTACTGTACTATGCTGAGATCCTCTAGTGGCTTCCTTGCTCAGAGTAATATCCCAAGGCCTTCTCATGGCCTGCAAGACCCTACCTGGCCTACCCTCACCCAAACTCCATGAGCTCACCCCCCAGAACTCTCTGCTGTGCTTACTTTACTCCAGCCAACACCAGCTGGTCTTTTGGTTCACTCGCCAAATGCTGTCCTGCACCTGGCGTGCCTTGCTCTTCCCTCTGCCTAAAATGCTCTTCCCCCTGATATCTGGACAGTCTGCTCTTTTACTGCCTTGAGGTTTCTGCTCAAAAGCAGCTTGTTAGGAAGGGCCTCCTTGTCCACGCTAAATAAAATAGCATCCCCTTCACTTTCTGTCAACTTTTCCCTGCTTTTGTTCTTCTTCATATTATATATATACTTATTTATTGTCTGTCTCTCTCCACTACAATGTCAGCTTCATGAGGACAAGGACTATCTTTTGTTCTCTGAAATAAACAATGCTTGGCCTGTAGTAAGTGCTCAGTAAATATCTGTTGAGTGAATGAACGAACGAACGAACAGAAATGAAAAGACACTGACGAAGCACGCCAATGACAGAACACTAGACATTAAATGACCCGTGATGAGGCTGAGAAGGAATGGGCAGAGGTAACAGCGATGGGCACTCATGGTGTCAGAGGCCAGGGTAAAAAAGAACTGCAAGGAGAGAAAGGTCAGAGGCCACTACTGAGGGAGGTCAAGTAAGAGAACACCTGAAAATCGCCCTTTACCATGTAGCTGACCTCATGACAGAGGTTTCAGTGATGTGTAGGGGGCAGAAGCCAAGCTGCAGTGGGCTGAGAAAGCAGTGGGAAATGAAACAGTGGGGGTAGTAAATGTAGATGAACTTTCCAAGAAGCGATAGGAGGTGCTAGAGCTGGGGTTGGAAGGTCGGGAAGGAGATTCTAACAGGACCTAAAGCTTTGACAGTGTCTGTGAATGCGGACACAGGCAACACGGACACAGAACTACCACAACAGCCTCCTGCCGTCTCCCTGCCCTGGTCTCCCAGCCGCACACCACCTTGTGCTGAGGCCAAATTAAATTCCCTGAAGCACAGATCCAGTCCACTCCCAAGCTCAGGAACTACCCAAGATCCCCTCTGTGCCTAGAGATAAAAACCTCACCTCTGCCCTGGCTGACATAGCTCAGTGGACTAGGTGCCAACCTGCAAATCAAAGGGTTGATGGTTCGATTCCCAGCCAGGGCACATGCCTGGGTTGCAGGCCAGGTCCCCACCCCAGTAGGGGGTGCTTGAGAGGCAATCACACATTGATATGTCTCTCCCTCTCTTTCTCCTTCCTTTCCCCTCTCTCTAAAAATATTTCTTTACATCTATAAATAAACTCTTTTTAAAAAAACACAAACACCTCATCTCTTAGCATTCTGGATTTCCCATGATCTGACTAGTCAATTTTCTCCTACGTCTCTTCTTTTTACGCTCACATGCCTCATTCATACAGCCTCCCTGATATCCCAGTAGGAAGCAGTTCTCCTGCTTTTGGACAACAGGGAAACTCACACTTCCATCTGTCTTCCAGCCCTAGTACCCTTTGGCCATGTCATGCCAATTACACACGTCTGATCTCTAAGTTCTTTGAGGGCTGGATCCTTATCTGACTTATCTTCATAGCTTCACCAAGAAGGGACTCAAATATTTGAGCAAATAAATGAATGACCAGACAAATCAGTCCTACTCAGAGCTTTGGCACTTGGAAGAAATTTAGCCTGGAGCTGTGTGCATGGAATCAAAACCTGGCAGGCGCCAGGCCTGGCCGGGGGCCAGGTGGCTGCCTTGCCACAGCACCCAGTAGCTAGAAACCTGAGTTTACAGACTGCCGCTCAAGACCTGAATGAAGCCCTGGCTGGTATGGCTCAGTGGTTGAGTGCTAGCCTGTGAATCAAAGGGATGCAGGTTCAATTCCCAGTCTTAGGGCACATGCCTGGGTTGTGGGCCAGGTCCCCAGTGGGGAACCACACATTGATGCTTCTCTCCCTCTCTTTATCTCTCCTTTCTACTCTCTAAAAATAAAATAAATAAAATCTTTAAAAAAAAAAGACTTGAATGAAGATACCTGGCAGCTGAAGTACATCTTGATACTTGTGCTTACAGGCAGCTTGTGCTGAAAGCTAAAATAATTGCACTGAAATCCTCAATCCAACTGTGCTCCTTCAGTCTGTATAATAAGTGAAGCAAAGCCAGCCCAGGTTTCTAGATTTAGCTGCGCCGCTTACCAGCTCTGCGTTCTCAGGAAACTCACTAAACCCTTCTGAGTCTGAGTTTCTCTGCACTTCCTCTGCCAAACTCACGGGCGTGAGGAAGGTCTAAGACTGTTAAAGGGCGATCAGAGTCTGGGAAGGGCTCTAACCTGCATGGAACTGAGGCTGCAACAAGTCCCCACAGAGCACTCCCTGGAAACGGCCACTACCATCTACATGTCGGTTGAGACAGTGTCTCTGAGACCAAAACAGCGTTTTCAAACCCTTCCAGTCTAATTTTAATCAGACATACGCAATGTTCTCCTTCAAAAAACTGAAATTAAAAAACCCTAAAGACAGCCATTTAGTAACAGATAAAAGCAGCTGATCTCCATTATTTAAAATACTTTCACGGTTCCATATTGAAGGGTATATAAGAATTTGATTCATTAATTTCTTTTGCCTTTAGGTTCTGGAAGCTATAGGGTGCTTTCATCGGGACGGTGACAGCCAAATCTATTTCGGTCTCCTACGAGATGCTTTATCACACAATTAGCTCACTGTTAAGAAGAGTTAACTCATCTTTCGAAATTGTTCAGGGATAAAATCAAGCTCTCTTAAAACAAAAAAGCCTACGAAAGGATATAAGAAATTTATTCACACGAAGCCAAAGGCCAACTCTAAAATATTCTCAAGTAGGCCACACCACTGACCATGACATGTTAGTGAATGTCTTTGTGCCGGTCAGCATGGCTGACACAAAGAAAAATCAATTTCCTACCTGTCTAGAGCATATTATACATGACAAAAATTATGAACACCTTGTCGCTTGGTCCTCAGTCCTGTGAAAAAGCAAGACAGGACGATTACCTCCTGAGCAAGACAGGCTCAGAAAGATTTAGTGATTTAACCCAAATCCCACCACTGGTTGGTGGGATTCTGAATGTTCAAACTGCCCTCAACATGCTTACACTCTAGTTGTAGAGGTAAAATACTCACATACATGAAGAGACAATGACCCACTCAATTAGTACCTATTGGTTGTAGTGGTGGCAGCGATAATGTGGTGAGAGTGATGGCGGTGGCAATGACAGCAATGATGGTAGTGGTGGTGGTGGTGATGGTGGTGATGGTGATGATGGGAGACTACAGGCACAGATGTGGGTGCTAAATGACCGCCAGAGACAATGAATGACAATGGAGCTCACCTGAGTCCTCTCCATACCAGTCGGCCTGGACATCCATCATGGAAGTCATGGCTCCTCCCATGCCGTCTGGTCTTCCCTCCAGACTCCGAGAAAAGTGATGGTCCACATCATCTTTGCTCTGGACAGCACTGTTGCGCAGCAGGGCCTCTAAAAACTGCTTCACATGGAAGTTACTGTAAGCCAAGTCCACGGCCTGGCCACTGGGCAAACCCTCCTCCATGTGGGCCAGGCTCAGCGGGGCAGCATACTGCTGTAGCTGCTCCCCAACCTCCACCTCCACTTCATCAGCATCAAACTCCACCTTGGGCTCGATCTGTTTGGGCAGAGTAGAGAGGTCACTGTCAGCTGAGCCACTGCCCTGGCTGTCTTTCCCCAGCAGTTCCAAGGGGTGGCAGCCTCTGCAGTCCCCACAAGGGGACTCTCTTGGACAATCCACACGCTCTTCTTCCTCAGCTGGAGAGGAGATCATGCTCTTAGTATCACAGGAGGTCCCCTCCTTGCTTGAACTGGGGCTCCCACTGTCAACCTGATGAACTGCTGCTGCAGCCGCTGCCGCCACCGCTGCAGCCACAGCAGCCTCCTTCTCCATCTTCCGGCAGATATCCAGGGATGACCTGATGTATGTCTTGCAGAAGTTCACCACATCATTCATCTGCAGGTAGCTGGCGGCCGACATAACTTCAATCACATTCTCCCCACACAAATCCAACTTCCCAGAATAGAGGAAATCTAAGATGATGGAAAAGGCATCGGAGGTGACAATGTCCAAGGAGGCGGTGCTATGCCGCCCACTGTCCTGGATATAGTGAATGAGCAGGGCTCGGAAGTAGCCGCTGTTGGCAAACAAAATGTTCCTGTGGGCCTTGAAGATCCGCCCTTCCACAATGATGCTGCAGTCACAGAAAAAGTCCCTCTTTCGCTGTTCATTCAGCTCTCCTAAGAGCTTGGCATAATAGGACTGCACCTCCATTTCTCCACCAGCTGCTGCTGCTATTCTGGAGCAGCCTGTATCTCTGCCAAGATTTTTGAAAAGTTAATTCACAAACTCCAACTTTACAAATAAGATGTCCATTTTTAAATTTTTATTTTTTAATTTCTTTAAAGATTTCATTTATTTTTCAGAGAGAAGGGAAGAGGGAGGAACGAGAGGGAAAGAAACATCAATGTGTGGTTGCCTCTCGCATGCCCCCAACTGGGGACTTGGCCCACAACCCTGGCATGTGCCCTGACCAGGAATTGAACCTTGAACCAGCAACTTTTGGGTTTGCAGGCAGGCATTCAAGCCACTGAGCCACACCAGCCAGGGCATTTTTACTATATTTTTTAAATTCTTCCCAAAACACTGGTTCAATAGCGTCTTTATATATGGGCTGTTTGGGATCTAACAAAAATCAGAGGTTGTCCAACTCTGTCAATTTTAGAAAAACAACAAAATATAACTAGAGCTAACTACATGTGGGCAGAGTACATGGTGTTTGATTCTTTCAGTGAATTTTTAGAAATATCCTATGACAAAACACCAATATTGTCCCCATTTTTCCAATAAGGGCAAGAGACTCAAAGAAGACACATGACCCAGCTGTAACAAAGCCAGGACCCAAAATAACCAGGCTGGTTAACCTCCAGAGTTCGTGCTCTGATGCATGAACTATCTCTACTTTCTTCAAGGCTCAAAATACAGATAATACCCAAGCCTGAGAATTACCGTTCAGTCTACATTGTCCTGATACACAGCTTAGAGACTGGCAACCAGTCTCAGCTCACACCTCTTCTCATCACTTTGTGGAAACATTGGCAGATCCTTGGGCCAGCACTGACCTTCTTATGGCTGTAGTGTCCTTTCTGGCTTTGGTTGGAACCACCCTTCCGTATTCTTGGTCAATGTGCTTTGCATCTGGCTGATGCATGCCCAGGCTCCACCAGCTGACCACAGTGATTGGCTCAGAGATGGCCACGCGGCTTGTTCAGAGCCAGTGAAAAGCGATTAAATGTTTACTGGGAGTTCAAACACAATGCACTCTCTCCTGCTCTGCAGGCAGGTGCGGTATGAGGGATGCTGCTGCCACCACCAGGTGACCCAGCCCTACAAGGATGACAACACAGGAGTAACGGATGGACCCAGGGATACCATCTAAGCCCCAACTTCTGCTGTGCCAGAAGCCAGTTCAGTTCCTTTTTCCTTTTTGCTTAGCTGGTATGAGTTATGTTCTCTCTCTCTCTCTCTCTCTCTCTTTCAGTTTATTTTATTCTCATTTGAGAGAGAGGGGAAGCGGGGAGGTGGGAGGGAAGGGGAGAGAGAGAGAGAGAGAGACACGTCAATGTGAAACATCAATCAGTTGCATCCTGTGACTGGGCATGTGCCCTGACTGGGAATCGAACCAGCAACCTTTTGGTTATGGGGATGATGCCCCAACCAACTGAGCCACTCCGGCCAGGGTTGAGTTAGGTTTTCTACTTCTTGCAAGTGAGAGACTCCTGACTGATTGACTCTACTACCCTTGGTTTACTCCTCTGTATTTCTGTGTCCTGGCCCTTGTCTTTCTGTGGATTACAAGACGTATGATCCGTGTCTTATTTCATTTGATATCTCCCACAGCACCTGGTAAAGTGCTTTGGACAAGGTACATTTGCCAAATACAATGAAATACTCTTTTCTTAACTGCTAAGTAGAACATGTATAAACCAAATTCAAAATCTTCCTGCTAAAATTCCACCTACGTATATGCTTTTGCTGGTATATGCATGCATTTTTCCCGGATGGTTATATAAGCAGTAGTTATCTTCTTTCCCAAGCTGTCTGCTCCATCCTTTCCCATCACACAAGCCACAGAGCCATCCAACAATACCCGTCTTACTTACTGACCCATTGAGCTCAGAGAAGTGTCTACAACCATGGACACCATCTCCCCTTACTAAAATTGCAAAAAGCCTAGTTAGAGCTGCCAGCCATAGCTAACGACTCTTTAACACTGTTCCTTTCTACAACTGGAGCACAACAGTACCTCTCCCAACCAGAAATCAGGCACTCTCTTCCCCCAAAAAGGGTCCTTCCTCTGGCAAAACTAGACTCCCAAAGGCCTAACACAATAACTGTGCCGACTTTACTCTTACAAGACCCACAACAACCTTGTTAAAGGGCAATTTACACCTACTTCATACATATATATAACAAACGATGCATTCAGGTTGGAAACTAGAGAGCCAATTAGGGCCAGAAGTGGAGAGGAGCCTCTATAAGCAAGTAAAGTGACAAACTTAAAAGTGAGAACTGACAGCTAGGAAAAAGTAAAACCATTCCAAAAAACTAGACCTACACATTTTTTTTTTCCAAAATATCAGCCTGAGGCCATTTAGCTAAGGGCATTAAGGGCTCCTACATTGTCCAAATGGCCTAAGGACACCACTAAATTATAGCCCAGGGCTATAACAGGTGAGCCTAAGTCATCAAGAAGACTCATCTTTTTATATTATTCTAAACTCAGGGACGTTATATATATCATAATTTTGGAAATTTTCACCTGAAGTAGTTAGAATTAACATTTGGTGCTGAAAGGAAGAGAACTGTCAAAGATACCTGAAAAATTCCACTATTCCCAAATAAAACACCCCTGAAAGTTTTGCACAGGACTAGGGTTTTGTTCCAGTCATTCTTACCTCTTCTGGCTGCTCCACCCAAGCCTTCCCGGCAGTTCCTGCTACTGCCCCGGCAATTAAAATGGTGAGAGAAGAACAAGATACAGGAAAATGCTACATTTAAATACCGCATTGTAGGCTTCCTCAGGACTGAAAGAAAACCTATCAGATTGGTAAAATCACATTTTTTTAATGTGATAATATCCACTATGGATGGGAATGTAAATTTGAACACCATTTTAGAGAGGAATGTTTAAAGGGGAATATTTATCCCAGCTTAAAATGTATACATCTTTTGCCCCAGAAATTTCATGGCTAAGATTTTACCCTTTTGGATGTATTCTAAAAAATACATCAAATTATAAATTCAGAGATACCAGCGATTACACCAGGTCTTTTTGTATCAACGCAAAAGTAAAAACAATCTGAATGTCCTCTGACCGAGAAGTTAAATCAATGAAGTGCAATCACACAGGGAAATACTAGGCAACCATGTTTTCAGTGAGCTAGAGCTGAGAGTGTGTATATGAAAAAGGACACTAAGATATGGTGAGAGAAAAAGGCAAGATGCAAAACAAAATATATAGTATGATCCTATCTGTCTACATGTTTTTGCTGGTATAGGCATAAATCTTTTTCTGAAAGCTTATATAAGCAAATACCCTTGAGGAGAGAGAATATGGGCAAGAGAATGTGTGGTAGGAACTTCCCTTTTCCTTTGCAACCTCTGTACTGTTAGCATGTTCTACTATGTATTTGTATTGCTTTTATTTTTCTTTTCTAACAAACAAAGGAGGGGGGCAAAGGGGTAAGGAGTTGGCAAACCAGGGAGATAAATACGTAAGTGGGCACAACACTTCTGAATGTGTAGAACGGTCTTACCTGCATGGCCTCCTCCCAGGACACTTCCATTTTTTTTTCACTGGAAGATGCTCCTTTTCAATAATAGTGCTCAAAATCCTTTTCCTTTGGCTTACTCTCTGCAACTATTCTAAACTCTATTGGCTCACACAAATACTCCCTGACTTTGCACAAGTCGATCCACATACTTTCTTCAAAACTTGCCTCAATCCTACATTTGGCATATAATGTGAAAATGTTTATTCATATTAATCTTACTTGCCTTTGGTGCTCTGCATCCCTGGGACATGCTGAGGATCAACATTTCTCCCAGAAAAGCAGCTCCTAGGGCACACTGCTCTCAGAAGTATATTTATCCGCACTCTGGCAGGCGTCCTCCAACCTTCCCACAGTTCCAATTCAACAGTTACTAGCTACGAACAATGCCCGATAAAAGGAAGATGCCAAGAACAGAAAAGTGAACCTAATACTACATAGTGCCCATCCTCCGGGAGAGGGCAGATGTCAACGCTACCCCCTGCAATCCTACCCAGCCAGATCACAGGACGGTCTTCATTCCGGCACCAAAAGCAGCCTTGAATTCCAACCACTGACTCCTGACAAGACTCCTCCAGGTTCACTGACCTGAGAATAAGGAAAACCTGCTCATCAATTGGTAGCATTCACTGAGAACTACTTCTCACGAAGCACTGAACAAAGTCTGTACAAATGTTAATTAATTTTAACCTCACAAGAGCCCAGTGCAGTAAACACAATCATTACATCCTCTTTTTCCCAGGAGAAAACTGCGGTTCAGACTTACAGATAACACGCCCAAAGCTAGGATTTGAACGGAGGTCGGTTTGATTCCAGACTTGACACCCTTAACCACCATGCCAGCCTGATTCCCCAAACCCTCCAGGACAGAATGAGAAGGGTTGGGGAAGTCACTCCTTTCCCCAAACCATGGAGTAAAAGGGAAGGACACGGAAGAAGTTTCCATTTCTACAAAAAGAATTTCAGGGCGAATCGCATTTTTGGTTCACCTGATAAATTTTCACAAGACAAGGGGGTCCTCCCCCGTCCGGACCCAGACGACTGGAACTTTGGCCTCCGAGGGTAGGGAACCGAGGCCTTCCTTGCCCCTCCCGTGGCCTCCGCGGACAAAGTGACCATCGCTACGGCGGTTACTGCCTCGCGCCCCCGCACCTTCTGGATGAGCCCACTCCCCGATCACCCTGGTGAGCCACGCCGGGGGACAGCCTAATGCCAGGGAAGGCGCGCGGGGGGAGGGGGGGTGCTCTGCCTTCACGGCGCCCGTCTCCAAGCTTAAGGGGAGATTGGGGGTCGGTCATTCGCTGCGGGGATCCAGGAGTCGCCAGGGCCGGGCGGTCGGAAGAAGGCCGACTGAGATCGGGCTCCCTGCCCGCTGACCCCTGGCCAGGGCCGACCTTCGGTGTGCCCGGGATCCTGCCCAAGCCAATGAAAGCGGCAGCGTGAAACCCCTTCTCGGTTCTCACCTTCCAGCGGGTCCCAGCAGCGCTTCCACTAAGCTACGTGCACCGACACGCCCCCCTTTCATTCACTCGCCGCCCCCTCCATTGAGGAGCGGGGTAGCCAACCAATCATGGGTGCGCCTGGGCTCAGGAAGGCGGGCACTCGACCAACAGGTTAGTCAATGGCGCCGGAGCCCCCTCCGGGAGGATGCGCTCTGAAGACTCCAGTGCTCGCGGGGTGATGGGAGTTGTGGTCTCAGAGTTTGTTTTTCGGTGAAACATATAGTGGACAAAACTACAAGTACCAAGATACCAAAAAGAGCAAGAACCAGCACTTGCCAAAGGCTAGAGCTTCCTTCGGTCTTCTGAGTCCCACTTGAGCGACCTGCGAAGTATTGATCTCTTTGTCCGGAGAGCTAAAGGCACGTCATGCATATTAATACAACCTGGAGAGTAAGGGCTATGACTTATCCGTGCCCCCTTCGCAAAAAAATCTGGAAATGTGTGAAATGGTTTAACCTACTCAACAGGTTTTTTTAAATTGTATTTTCCCATTGTCATTTAGTCCCCTTACACCTCTCACTCCCCGCACCCCATCACCACGCTATTGTCCATGCCCATGAGTCCATTTTACACAACAGGTTTTGATGGAATACTAGCTACCATTTTCCCCCTTGAATAAAAGGCTTTCAGATTCATGTAACACTTAAGTAGCTGTACGAGGTGTTAAGCAATGGTACAGGCAAGATCTGGCGTGGCTGTGAACAAGATAAACCAGCTTACTGTTCTCAGGAAACTTAGTTTTAATGGGGGGTGGGCTGTATTAGTCCGTTAGGGCTGCTGCAATAAAGTATCACACATTAATTTAAACAACACAAATTCATTGTCTCACAATTCTAGAGGCTAGAAGTCCAAAATCAAGGTGTTGGTAGTGTTGGTTCTTTCTGAGGCTATGAAGAAAGGATCTGTTCCTGTCCTCTCTCCTTGGCTTATAGGTGGCCATCTTCACATTCACATGGCCTTTTCCCTGTATATACTTCTGTGTTCATATTTTCCTTTTAAAAAAAAAATAAGGACATCAGTCTATTTGGTTAGGGATTCGCTCTACTCCAATACAAAAGTCATCTGAACTAATTACATCTGCAGGCAGAACTGTAAGCAGTGCATCTCATTGTCCACTTTGCCTAGAAGGAGAGATGGCCTGAGGTCAAGATCTATACCAGTTCACAGGCAGTGACTAATGATTTGAGCAGCTCAGAGCTACAGATCAGAAGGTTATGACAAACAGGTGTGGGAAAGATAGATCCCCCGCTCCCCCCAAATAGGCCCAGCTCATGAGACAACAGCTATGTCGTATGAATGCTCACCATGGGCTCCCACGTGTTCAGTGGGTTCATGGGCAAAGGGCCGTGGTGACGGGGTAAAGAACACAGACACACCCTCACCAAAGCCAAGCTAGCAACCACCGCTACTGATACCCAGTGTGCCCACAGCACGAGTCAGCTCGGAACCCTTGAAGTGATATCATACCTCGAGGGCACCAGCCAACTGCTTGGTGGCAAATTGACTACATAGGACCATGTCCCTTGCGATGGTGGTAGGAATTTGTTTCCCTGGAAGAGGCAGTGACTCTGGATTCGGATTTGCCCCACAGGCCTCTGCCAGCACCTCCATGTGTAGACTTACTGAACAGTTGGTAGCCCACACAGTATTGTTTCTGGTCATGGAGGTCCCTTCACAATATCGAAGTGAGACACTGAGCTGACACTCACAGGATTCACTGGCCTTAACCATGTGCTCCATTGGCCAGGCTTCTAGAATGTTGGAAGGGCCAATGGAAGGTCCAGACAAGGTACCCTCTGTTAAACACTTTGAGAGGTAGAGCGCCATCTACAGGATGTGTAATGCACTGAAACAGTGTGTTTCTCCTTTAGTCAGATACTACCCAGTTCAAGAACTAAGGGGGCTAGATGCAGGGGATTGGCTCCTCTCATAAAAACTTTTAGACTCACTCAAAAATTTCTGTTTCTTAGCCCCATGACTGTAGGGAGGGGAGGAATGCTAAAAGCTCTTAGTGATCGAGGGAGGAATGCCTCCACCAAGTGACAAAAATTTTCCACTAAACAAAGTTGAAACTGCCACTCAACCATTTTGAATATTTCATGTCTATAAACAGAAAACAACAAAAAAGAAAAAATCAAGGTATTATATGGGTTAAAAACTCTGGCTATCAAGGGGAAATAAGTTGTTACCATACCACAGGGGCAGGGAGGCTTAGTGATAGACTCAACTGTATCTCTAAGGGTCCTGTTGCTACAACAAATCCTGTGATCAAAGTTACTGCAAGACCACTGTAATTCTTTACAAGACAGCTTCACAGGGCACAGATCTCTCAGAAATGGAGGCTTGGATCTCTTCTGTGGGCCAAGAACTTGACCATCTGTTGCTAAGTGAAGGCAGAGGAACCTGAGATAGTGAAGAAGAAAAGTCACAAATCCAAGCACAGTCTTAGAATGAGTTATGGAGGGGAGGGTGATAGTCTGAATTTGAACTCTTTTCCTCAAAATATATATTTACATATTTCAAATAGTTTTTCTTCTCTTTCTTCTCCCTTGCCCCTATTATTGTCTCCAGGTGGTTGTCTAAGGAAAGTAACTTCACCATTGAGTCATAGATTGCAGATTTTTATTTAAAGATTTTATTTACTTATTCCTGGAGAGTGGAAGGGAAGAAGAGAGAGAGGGAGAGAAACATCAATGTGTGGTTGCCTTTCATGTGGCCCCCACTAGGGACCTGGCCTGCAACTCAGGCATGTGCCCTGACTGGGAATCGAATTAGTGACCCTTTGGTTCACAGCCCACTCTGAATCCACTGAGCTATGCCAGCCAGGGCAAATTGCAACTTTTTGAGAAGGAATTGCAAGGGAGCCAGAGGAGGAACATCAGAGTCTGGAGGTGACTTCCTAGGGGAGAGGTAGGCCACTTAGGGAAGAGGGTAAATAATTTTTAGGAAAGAAGAATGGGCCCGTAGAAGAACAGATGAGAGATATGATAGTTTGCATCAGTTTGTCTGGTTACACGTCCACCTTCCTCTCTTGTGATGAGTCAGGCTTCCCTAGCTGATGAACCCCAAGGGAGGGGGTTTATTACAATTGAGTTCCTCTCCCTCGACTTGTTGTTTTTCAAGTGACTTCAACTCAAAATAATCAATCTACCAAAGTGGCATACTTAAGGCTGGCATTTCCTGAACTCCAAAAACATCAACCCGTTTCCCTTCTTGGAAAAACCTTCACTGTTGTCACAGTAAGAAGGAAATGCCAGTTATCTCTCACAGCTGTATTCTTCTGCACACTCAGAGGGGGCTAGATCTACCCACTCTCAGTTACAGCCAAGAAGCAGACTCATGATGCATGAGTCCCAAGAACAATGCTGGAGCCATTGGGAAGACTATTATTTATTATTATTGTTATCATCATCATTTAACCCATGCGGAGGGGCACTGATGGCTTATGTGACTTGCTTCCCTGAACCAGTCCACAGCGCCACCTTCTGGAAGTCTTTGATGACAACCAACTTTAGGGAGCCAAAGTCATCACCTCTTCCTGGGAAACATCCTTTGCTCTTTGGACCACAATAATCCACCGGCTCCGTGGTTCTAAGGATTACATGAGACAACAGTGGCCAGCACACAAAGGATGTCCCCACTTTTGCAAATTATAAAATAATGCATATTCTTTTATAATAATGTGAGGCTGGAAGGAATAGGACTTTACTCAAGTTCACACAGCATTTCCCTGGCTGGTGTAGCTCAGTGGATTGAGCACAGGCTGTGAACCAAAGGGTCACCAGTTTGATTCCCAGTCAGGGCACATGCCTGGGTTGCAGGCCAGGTTCCCAGAGGGGGCCATGTGAGAGCCAACCACACATTGATGTCTCTCTCTCTCTTTCTCCCTCCCTTCCCCTCTCTCTAAAAATAAATAAATAAAATCTAGAAAAAAAATCATACAGCGTAGCACAATAGTAGTAAAACAAGGACAAGGGCCAGGGTACTAGTAAAAGTTCAACAACTGTCTTGGAAGCAGGGGTGTGTAGTGTTTGTAGATCTTGCTGATGTAAGCACTCCCACCTTCACTGATTTTAAATGATCCATATGGCATCACTGAGAGTTAAAGTTACTGTAGAAGATGTACAGTAAAAGGCACAGCATAGTGTTTCTACCATACAGATACAATAAGTTTGTCACTTCAAAAGCATAGATGACAGTGAAACACATAAAAATAATTACATAGTGTGAGTTTATTACCTTTATTTAATTTGTTTAATTGTAAATTTATATCATTTTTATTTTATTTATATTTTATTTATTTATGTTGAGAGAGAGGGGAAGGGAGGGCAAAAAAGTGGGAGAGAACGTGGATGTGCGAAAGAAACATCGATCAGCTGCCTCTCGCACACCCCCAGCTGAGGACCAGGTCCACACCCCAGGACCTGACTGGGAATCCAACCGGTAACTCTTTGGTTTGTGGGACAACACCCAACCCACCGAACCACACCAATGAAGGAAGTTTATATCATTAAAAAAAAATAATGGCTGTGGCCCTGGCTGGTGTAGCTCAGTGGATTGAACATGGGCCTGTGAACCAAAGGGTCGCTGGTTCAATTCCCAGCCAGGGCACATGCCTGGGTTGCAAGCAAGGCCCCCAATTCGGGGGATGTGAGGGGCAACCACACATTACTGTTTCTTTCCCTCTCTTTCTCCTTCCCTTCCCCTTTGTCTAGAAAATAAATTCTTTAAAAATAATAATAATAGTTGCTGTGCTAAACAGTTAGCTTATAAAATTCTTGAAATTTTAACAGCTCTAGAAAGTTGAACTAGAACCTTTCTATCGGCTTTTAGGCATGCCCTGTGCTACCTCTACCAGCAACTTACGCGTTTCCATTTTACAATGGGTCCTGCAAATTATGTAGCTGGTCCTGCTGCCAAGTCTGTGCTGCGATCTCCACAGCAGAAATAGGGCAGTGTTTGGGAATGTCCCCTCCCAGAATCATCTCCAGCCTAGCTGCCCTCCGCTGAGGAAGCCTAGCCT